GGAGGAGGAGGAGGGAGGAGGAGGAGACGCAGAGGAGGAGGAGGATGGAGGAGGAGGAGGAGGAGGAGGAGTAGGAGCAGGGAGGAGGATGATGATGATGATGAGGTAGGAGGAGGAGGAGGAGGAGGAGGAGGAGGGAGGAGGAGGAGGAGAGTAGGAGGAGGAGGAGAACGAGGAGGAGGAGGAGGAGGGAGGAGGGAGGAGGGAGGGAGGGAGGGAGGGAGGGAGGAGGAGGAGGAGGAGGAGGAGGAGGAGGAGGAGGAGCAGGAGGAGGAGTAGGAGGAGGAGGACAGAGGTGGGAAGCAAGGCGAGGCGCGGCACCTTTCACGGTGCCCCGTGTTCGTATTCAGCGTGATCCAGCGGCGCGCGCGCGGCTGGCTGGGGCGGCGGGTGGCTGCCGCGGAGCGGGCCGCGTGCGGCTGGTTCGGTGGCGGAGCCGCCGTTGCCCCCGCGGCAGGCGGCGGCCGCAGAGCTGCATCGAAATAGTATCCAGAGTCATACGAACAATGCACTCAGACTCGCACGGAGAAGACGAGTTCCAGCAAGCAACAAGATCACAACACGAACCATCGTATCAGCAATGCCAGCAATAATGCGAAGACGAGCGCGGATCTTACTAGTAATAATTACACCTGAGAAAACCCTCAATCAGTGTAGGGTTTTCGCTGAGGAGATCCACCGGGAATTCAGGCGCCCGGGAACCCAGAACCCACCGAAATCGGCCCGGAACCAATAACTGGGAACCAGGGAACGGAACCCAGGCACCCAGCCTGCCACCAAACTCGGCGGGAAATTTTCGCCAAATCGTTCAATTTCCGCTAGGGCCCCTTCAGTGCAAGCACTGATTGGGGAATCATCAGAAGGGCGGGAACAAGGGCAGGCGAGACAGGGCGGCCAAGAGCTGTTACAGCTCGCGGCAGCGGGCGCCGTTGTCGAGGCGGCCGTGCGCGAGGGGCGGAGTTTTCGAGGCGACCGCTCCGGCCCGTGCTTGAGCCGCCGTCATGGCTGCAGAGGTGGAACAGGCAAAGGAACATATCCAGGAGGGGAAAAACATGCCGACACAGGCTGTGGTCGACTCCCAGGAAATGGGAACATATGGGAAACGAGGGGGAAGACGAAGACCCAGAAGACGGGGGACATTTTTTTGGGATCTTGGGATTAGTGTCTATTTCTTGTGTGTCCCTGGGCCCCACTTCAAGATGCAGGCGGTCTGGGGGACTCTGGCGGACCCTTGCCCCTTCTGCTTGTCAGGGCCTTTGTGCCACCGCAGCTGGGTGTGCGAGGCGCGAGTCTACCAAGTCCTCAAGGAGGAGTGTGCGCTACGAGATTGCTGTGAGGCCGTGGCGCATTCGGGACTTTTGTGGTTGCGTTTCAGCCTCCGTGAACAGTGGGAAACCGACCCCAGCCCCCACAACTATGGATTTTACATGTCAGCGTTTGGCATCTAGCGAATTTGCGTAAGTGTAGGCGCCCTGTCGGCGAGGCCATTGCCAGCTGCCGCAGGGGGGGCCCGCGCGCGCGGCGACGTGCTGGGCCCAGTCGACGCGGCCGCGCCCGCGACGGCATTCCCAGAGTCGCGCGTGCCACGGCCGCGGCATGCAGTTTGAGGCGACGGCGGCGCTGTCCCTCGCGCGGCAGCGCCGCTGGCCCAGCCGCGGGCCCCCGCCCCCGCCTCCGTCGCCCCCTCGTAACCCGCCGACGGACAATTTCAGATCGGGAGCGTTTCTCTTGAGGCAACGGTTCAAACATAACATTTGTTGGCGTTTATATAAACACTTTTGTTGTTACTATAAAATTGTCGGGGCTCTCCCGCGCGAGACTTTTCGCTTCGAAGAAGTGTCGATTTATTTTATATCGAGTTTATACACACTTTTTTCGCCTGGTGTCTGAACTTTGTTTTTGGGGTGGACCTACACTTTCGATGCGCGCCCGTGCGAGGCGGGCCCCGGGCGCCGTCCCAGGGTTCTTGCCAGCGCCTCCAAGAGCCGACGCGGTCCCTGGTTTTTGCCCTGGCACGAGCGCGCGAACGTCCACAATGACTTTGGGCGTTGACAGCGCGCCGGCACAAGGCAACGCCAAGTACATCAAACGCCAGCGAGCATAGCAGCAGCGCGCCGTTCGCCTTGCATTGCGCGGCGTTGTCGTTGGCTGACCGTCGAGCTGTTTCCGCTTGCAGGTCACGCGTCGTTCGACGGCCCCGTTACTCTAAAGTTCTTCATGTGGGGGGCGGGGGTGTTTGACGTGCGTCGTCCATCGTGGTCCTCCTTGCTGCCGGCTCCCCCCCGTTCCCCCCCTTCCCCCCGTCCTCCTCAGGCTGCCTCGCCTCCTCCTCCTCCTCCTCCGCCTCCTCGTCGTCGTCGTCGTCCTCCTCCTCCTCTTCCTCTTTCTCCTCTTTCCTCACCTCCCCTTCCTCCCCGTCCTCCTCCTCATTTTCCTCGTCCTCCTCCTCCTCCTCCTACTCTCCTCCTCCTCCTCCCCCCTCTTCCTCATCCCTCGGCTCCTCCTGCTCTGCTCTGATACTGCCCTCCCCTCCTTCCTCTCCTCCTCCTCCTCCTCCTCCTCCTCCTCTCCCACTGCCCGCCCCTCGCCCGCCTCTCCTCTCCTCCTCTCCTCCTTCCTCTTCCTCCTCCTCTCCTTCCTCTCCTCTTCTCCTTTTCCGGCTCCCCTCCTCTCCCCCTCATCCTCCTCCTACGGCGTGCTGCGACTCCTCCTCCCGGCCCCCTTCTTTTTTTTTTTTTCTTTCTTTTTCTTTTTATTTTTTTTTTTTTTTGTTTTGACCCCTTTCCTTTATTTGTTTCCCCTTCTTGTTCTCTATTTCTTTGTGTTTTTTCCTTTATTTTTTCTTTCTTTTTTTTTTTCTGTCTCCTCCTCCTACTCCTCCTCCTCCTCCTCCTCCTCCTCCCCCTCCTCCTCCTCAACATCACGCACAGGGAACCATCACACCACAACATTCAGCACAGCCATGCGAGTGTGATCCGACCACGGTTCGACCTCCCTTCCTCCGCTCAGTCACTTCCAGCCGTAGTCAGCCTTAGTCATCATAGCTGCTACCTCACTCGACTCTCTGCGCGATTGAGGGAATGAGGAAGAATCGCATACTAAGGACAGGCCCAGGATTCCGACTCCAGCGAACGACCGAGCCTACGCCTACTCCTACACCAAGGCCCCCACTACGGTTCCTTACCGCCCCAACTCTTGGGAACTAAGGAAACTACTACATTACCTAAGGTGAACAACAGCTAGGCGGGGTCAACTAAGGTAAAACGAGGCCCAGTACCCAGTCCGACATACCACCAGCGGACATTTACGACTCGAGCTTTCTCGCGACATCCAGGGCCTGCTTTTCTCGCGGACTCACGACCTGGGCAGCAATGGCGGCGCAGGCGACCATGGCGGAGCAGGTGGGGGCGACGGAGCAGCAGCCAGCTGCAGCTGAGACCGAGCTCAACCCGCAGCCCACAATAGTGCAGAAGCCACACGACAGGGGGGGCTTCGGAGTGGCTGACCAGGTCACGGGCACGGCGGCGTACAGGCTGGAGATCGCGCACAACACATTCCAGAGCACGCCCGAGGCGTTCAAGGAGGCGACCAAGCACAGCGAGATGGCACTCCACGTCCTTCACAAGCAGAGGGAGAAGGTGGTGACCACGCTTGGGCGCATGAGCGGCAGGAGCCTCAACCCGCATGAAGAAGCTGAACGCAGCCAAGCAAAGCACTACCTCAAGGAGCAGCTGCGCGACATCCACAACGCCATCAGCGCGGTGAGGAGCGCGATCGGCATCACGGACGACAAGCTCGGCAAGCTGGTGCACGGACCGATGCCGTGGGAGCTCGACTACATGAGGCGCCAGGTGGATGAGATCGACCACATCTACACCCGCTGGACCAAAGGCCCGCACGGCTACGCCTACGACGAGGCCTCCTTCGCCACCCAGAGTGCGACGGCAGCGACGGCGGCGGAGACGGAGAAGCAGGATCTCCTCCAGCCCGCGCGCAGGCCGCCATGCCCGAGTCCGAGCAAGATCGTGCAGGGCTGGGAGAACCGTGGTGTGGTGTTGTGTGAAGAGGCCGAGGCCCCAGTCGCCGCTACTAAGGCCGACCACAACGCTGGCGCAGCGCAGAGCAGGGATGTGAGACTCTCGTCGCCAAGGGCAGCGGCTGCGGCAGGCTGGGGCATCGGGCAGTAGTGAGCTGAGAGCTTGTCCCATCGCTTCAGGCCTTGTTTTCTTTTTTTTACTTCCTCAGCGAGAGCATCACATGCTCGGCAGTGTAGCACTTAACGCGTGAGCCAGCGCGGCCACGCCAATCCATATCACAGCCGAGACAGGTGCAGGGCAGGGGATGGGACGAGTACAAGGCCGCCCTTCTCTTTTGTTTGTCTCTCTTTCTTGCCGCCTGGAGGGAGTGGTGGGGGAGGAGAGGGGGAGCGAGGGTGGGTGGGCTCTCAGCGGCGGGGGGTGCGCCCACAGAGTGAGGCAGCTCCCCTCCGCCTGCACCAGCACTAACGCCTAGCCGAGGCAGGGTTCCCCTGCTAGCGAGGCTCGGGGACCACGCCTCAAGGGAGGCGGGCCCCGTCGCCTCAGGCGGCCCCCCACAGCAAACGGGTGGGCTCGCATCCATGTTTTTCCCAGGGGTCGGCATGCCTGTCGGTAGGCGAAGTTGACAGACCCCCAAGGGCCTTATCCTTATTATCCTCCTCCTCCTCTTCCTCCTTGTCCTCCTCCCCCTCCTCCTCCTCCACCTCCTCCTCCTCCTCCTCTTCCTCCTCCTCGGCTTCCCCCCCCTCCTCCCCCTCCTCCTCCTCCTCCGCCTGCTCTTCCACCTTCTCCTCCTCCTCCTCCTCCTCCTCCTCCTCCTCTTCCTCCTTGTCCTCCGCGCCTCCTCCTCCTCCTCCTCCTCCTCCTCCTCCTCCTCCTCCTCCTCCTCTTCCTTCATATTCTCAGTTCTCTCCCCTGACGCCCTCCCCTGCCTCCCTCATTTCCTTTCGCCCCCCCGCCTAGGTCCGTCGCCGCACATCGGAGATTGCCGGGTTGAAGGAGGCGCTGTCCATCCTGGAGGGCGAGGCGGCCCTCCTTGCGCCCCCCCCCCCCCACGGCGTCCTCACGGGGCGCGTCGTCGTCGCTTCCGTCACCGTCACCGTCGTCGTCGTCGTCGTCGTCGTCGTCGTCGTCGTCGTCGTCGTCGTCGTCGTCGTCGTCGTCATCGTATCGTAGTTTTGTCCTGTCGTCGTTGTCCTCCTTTCTCTTCCCCTACTGTTCGTCCTCCTACTCGCGTGCGCTCGTGGGGTTGGTACCAGAGACGGATTCCTGTGGTTGGGAAGTGGCCAATCCCGTACAGTCGCGACGATAAGACGAGAGATGGTGAGTGTGATGGTGATGGTGATGATGATGCCGATGATGATGATCATGATGATGATGATGATCATGCTCATGATGATGATGATGATGACGAAGAGGATGATGATGATGATGCTGATGATGATTATGATGATGATGGCGATGATGACGATGATGATGATGATGATGATGATGGTGATAATGCTGATGATGATGATGCTGATGATGACGACGATGATGATGATGATACGGATGATGATGCGGATGATGCTGATGATGAGAATGATGGTGATGATCACGATGATGACGATGGTAGTGGTGGTGGCGGCGGTGGTGGTGGCTATGAAGAGAATGAGGATGACGAAGATGATGGTAAGGAGCAGGCGGAGGATCAGGTGGAACAGGATTCCGACGAGCCAGTTCGAAGATGAGAATGTTGATGATCCGGATGCCAAGGGAGTGTATGAGGAGGGGGATGATGAGGCAGAGGAGGAGAGGAGACGTACACGCAGGAGTGAGGATGATGAGGAGGATTGGAAGACGGCTAGTTCGCATAAGCGAGGTTCAGCTGGTCGACGAGGACGGCGATGACGCAGTCGGTGTCGATGACAATGATGATGACGACAACGTCGATACCGTTGACGACATCGATGTCGATTGTGATACTGATAACGGTTATGATGTTTATGACGCGCGATGCGGAGGACGACGGGTAACACGTTTGGGCAGCAGCTAAATGATTCGTAACGTGATGATGCTTATGATGACCGCGGCGACCGCGACGATGTCAAGTTGAGGACGACGATAACAATATTGATGATGATCATACTGATGTGGATGTGATTGACGACGACGACGGGTATGATGATGATGGCGATGGGGCTCGTGTTGGCGATGCTGCTGGTGGTGATGTTGATGATGAACATGCTGTTGCGAATGATAATGATGATGTTGATGATACTGCTGATGCTGATTATGATGATGAACATGATGGTGGTGGTGATGGTGATACTGATGATTATGACGTGATGGTGATGATGATGATGATGATGATGATGGTGGTGATGATGATGACGACGATGATGCTGATGCTGATAACGATGATGACGATGACGATGATGATGATGATGATGATGTCGATGATTATGAGGGTGATGATGATGATGATGATGATGATGCTGCTGCTGATGATGATGATGATGACGACCATGATGACGATGTTGATGTTGATGATGATGACGACGATAGTGCTGGTGACGATGGTGATGGTAATGACGATGGTGATAACTTTAAGATGATGGTGACGATGTCGATGGCGATGGTGATGATGATGCTGGTTGTGATGATCATGATGATGATGAGGATGATGATGATGATGAGGATCAAGACGATGACGATGACGATGATTATGACGATGACGATGATGACGATGGTGATGATGATAATGCTGATGATGATGATGATGGTTGTGGTTGCGGTGATGATGATGGTGATGCTGATGGTGCCGATGCTGCTGATGATGCTGATGATGATCATGATGATGATGATGATGATGATGATGATGATGATGATGATGATGATGTCAATGATGATGATGATGATGATGATGATGATGATGATGATGGCTGATGGGATGGTGATGGTGTTGATGATGATGATGATGATGATTGAGTGATGATGATGATGATGATGATGCTGATGCTGATGCTGATGCTGATGCTGATGCTGATGCTGATGCTGATACTGATGCTGATGATGATGCTGACGATGATGAGGAGGAGGATGAGGAGGAGGATGGTTACAGAGATTGTGATGGTGGTGGCCGTGGTGATGGTGGTGTTGATAGCGATGGGAGCAGGAGGGGCATGAGGACGAGGAAAAGTGGCGGCGGCGGATGGTGACTTCGGTATCTTTGTCGACGTCAACGCCAACGTCAACGGCGGTGCCGCCGTCGACGGCGGCAGGCGACAGGAGGAAGGGCCCCCCGCCCGGGAGGCCGTGCTCTTGCAGCAGTCCAGGCGCAAGTCACGCCATGGAGCGTCCCTGCGCGCCTCCGCGTGAGGACTTGCGGCCGCTTCCGCCGCCCGCATCGTCGTCGTCGCCGTCGTCTGTCGTCGTCGTCGTCGTCGGCGGCGTCGTTCGTCGTCGCTTGTCGTTATCGTTGTCGCCGGCGTGGGCATCTTCGTCGTCGTCGTCGGCATCGTGGTCGTCGTCGTCGTCTTCGTTGTTCGTCGTCTGTCTTTCATCGGGCTTCGCCGTTCTCGTTGTCGGTGTCGTCGTTGTTGTTGTCGTGACGCCACGGCCCCCTCCGCTGCCTGTTGCTTCCCTCTTCCTTCCAATTCCGTTGCTGTTGCCTGCTCTCGTCCTTTTCCTAGCCTCCTGGTGTGTGTGCGCGCGTGTGT